TCAAAATTAATAAGATCGCAATTTTATAGCAAAAATCTCGACTAAATTCACAATTTTGCAAGCCACATTTTGTCATGTAAACTTGTCATGTTTATTATGAGAAAACTTTCATGTGGCAAGGTCATGGTACTATGAATGAGGCGCCCCATGAATTGTTTACCGAAACATTCATATTTGCTAATTGAGTACAATTTTAAGAACTTTGTCACCAGCGTAGGAGGTCAATTAAGTAAAGGAGGTCGAATCTTAATTTTAATGAAAGTGTTTAGTACTATTTAGTGTATGCATGATGTTTTTATTACTACTTACTACGTTTTTCTTATTAACTTGCTTTCTTGTTTGTTTGTTTGTTTGTTTGTTTGTTTGCAAAAAATTTCAAATCTTGCGATCAATTTTTCGACCACTTCTACTGCTCCAATCGAGCTCAAATTTTTAATGCACATGTATTCCCGGTGACAATACAATATTTTAACACTTTGGAAACACAAAAATGCTTAATTATAGTACAATTTATGTAAAACTTTTTTATATGGGAAAAAATCCAATGTCAATGATATAAAATTTTGATTTGTATTAAATATTATACTTGTGATGCTCTAAAGTCATTTATATGATTCATTATAGTTTAATTAATATTACTAATTATTAATTATACCATAAATTTGAGCAGCTAAAGATATTCTGGTAAGACAAAAAAATTGACATGTAATTTTTTCATGAATATTCGTAAGTGAAAATTTGAATTTTCAAAAAAACCGTTAAGCACAAGTCCGTTACGAATTAATGCAAAATAACTATTAATATGCGATGTGCATTTAGCACACATAGTTTGAGCATAAATTTATGCTGTTTTAAATGTATTGCATTATTTATAACACTTCACCAACTTAATTAAATTGACCTTTCTTTTTATTAACGGTTTGACGTATTTTTGCATAACATATAAATGATATTCATTGAATTTAAATTTGAAAATCCGTTATAAATACGTTACATATAGATTTGATTTGCATCTTTATGTTAAGAATCCACACGTTATGTAGTAGGAATGGTTCGGATAAACACAAAATCTTTACGAGTGATTTTTAATGTACTTTACTAATGAATGCTTTAAAAAAATTAAATTTTATAAAACGAATGAAAAATTTTGAAAGTCGTTACTAATTTCCCATTGAAAACTGGTAATTTATAAACAGTTGAACGCAACGAAGTGAAGTTCAACACACCTGTAACCTATAAACCTACTGTAATCTATAAACAGTTGAACGTAACGAAGTGCAACGAAGTGAAGTTCAACACACCTGTAACCTATAAACCTACTGTAATCTATAAACAGTTGAACGTAACGAAGTGCAGCGAAGTGAAGTTCAACACACCTGTAACCTATAAACCTAATGTAATCTATAAACAGTTGAACGTAACGAAGTGCAACGAAGTGAAGTTCAACACACCTGTAACCTATAAACCTACTGTGATCTATAAACAGTTGAACGTAACGAAGTGCAACGAAGTGAAGTTCAACACACCTGTAACCTATAAACCTACTCTAATCTATAAACAGTTGAACGTAACGAAGTGCAACGAAGTGGAGTTCAACACACCTGTAACCTATGAACCTACTGTAATCTATAAACAGTTGAACGTAACGAAGTGCAACGAAGTGAAGTTCAACACACCTGTAACCTATAAACCTCCTGTGATCTATAAACAGTTGAACGTAACGAAGTGCAACGAAGTGAAGTTCAACACACCTGTAACCTATAAACCTACTCTAATCTATAAACAGTTGAACGTAACGAAGCGCAACGAAGTGGAGTTCAACACACCTGTAACCTATGAACCTACTGTAATCTATAAACAGTTGAACGTAACGAAGTGCAACGAAGTGAAGTTCAACACACCTGTAACCTATAAACCTACTGTAATCTATAAACAGTTGAACGTAACGAAGTGCAACGAAGTGAAGTTCAACACACCTGTAACCTATAAACCTCCTGTGATCTATAAACAGTTGAACGTAACGAAGTGCAACGAAGTGAAGTTCAACACACCTGTAACCTATAAACCTACTCTAATCTATAAACAGTTGAATGTAACGAAGTGCAACGAAGTGGAGTTCAACACACCTGTAACCTATAAACCTACTGTAATCTATAAACAGTTGAACGTAACGAAGTGCAACGAAGTGAAGTTCAACACGCCTGTAACCTATAAACCTCCTGTGATCTATAAACAGTTGAACGTAACGAAGTGCAACGAAGTGAAGTTCAACACACCTGTAACCTATAAACCTACTCTAATCTATAAACAGTTGAATGTAACGAAGTGCAACGAAGTGGAGTTCAACACACCTGTAACCTATAAACCCCCTATAATCTTTATTTCTCTATTTCATTAGAAAAAAACTACGTTTTTCGCGTAGACTAAAAAGTAGAAAATAACTTTTATTCTTGGTTGTAAAGAATTTGGTTTTAAATTTTCAGATTATATTTAATAAATTTTTATATCCTAGTCAATATTGTTCACAAAGTTTCGAATAAGTGCACTTTGATCTTATCGTATAACTCAACAACTTAAAAACGTGGGCGCATTAATTTAAGTTTATCATAAAGTATTGATTTCACATAAACTTATTTCTCCTCTTATAATGCGCCCACGTTTTTAAGTTGTTGAGTTATACGATAAGATCAAAGTGCACTTATTCGAAACTTTGTGAACAATATTGACTAGGATATAAAAATTTATTAAATATAATCTGAAAATTTAAAACCAAATTCTTTACAACCAAGAATAAAAGTTATTTTCTACTTTTTAGTCTACGCGAAAAACGTAGTTTTTTAAAAAGTTTTTTTTTATAAAGTATTTTTTTAGAGTTGAGCTGTAATTTGTGGAGAAAAAATATTGAATGGAATTTTTATAAATTTGAAGCTTTTTAGAATTCAATTTTAAGGCATCGGAAATAAAAAGAACATAAACAGAATGATGATTATTTCTCTTAAACATTCGTAGGAATTGAACCTACGAATTTTGACTATATTAATGATTTATTAAACTGCAATTTAAACCTTTACTTTTCTCAACTTTAACATTTTTGAAACGCTTCACCAAAATTCAATTTCAATTATACCGGAAATGTAAAATTAGCAAATTATTGAATAACAACTTCCAAAAGTCCCAATCTCAAAAACTTGTCATAATCTGACAAAAACTTCATTTCAAGGGCCATAAAAATTCCAAAAAGTAAAATCAGAAAATACAAAAAAGATTTAAGATTTTCATTTATTAATTTATTTTGTTGTTATGATGAACATTTAATAGGTTTTTTGGAGGCGAGATGATAAGAAAGTAAATTATTGTTATTACTATTTTATTTACTATGTATTATTATTGTTATTATCGCTGATTATTTAATGCATTACTTTACTCAATTATTACATTTTCTTTTATTTAACGAGGAAATTATGATGAAGGATAATGTTCACCTAACATTGTTGTAATTTTTATTACACACTTCTTTCCCTCTCCGTTGATATTATCTCAATTAGAAAACAGTTAAACATATTAAGCAGTAACTATGTAAAGGACTAAAATCATTTGAATGAAAGTAATATTAAAAGGCATGCATATTTTGACTTTTATTGTTTTTTTTTCTTTTTCCTCTTTTAACATTGAGCTTTTTTTTTTGTATGTGAATCGACTTGTAGTAACCTAGAATTCGTCATTGTGTGTTGGCATTCACACAAATAAAATTATAAGCCTCAAGTTTCTTTTGGTGTTATTTAAAACGTAAAATTAGAATTTCTTTTTAACTTTAACATTTTTTTGATTATTTTTACTTTTTTGTGCTAGCTCATTTGGATGGTTTTTGGTTATGGAGTAATTTTGGGACTTATAAATTGAATGCCATTTGGAAAAAAATAAACAATTCTTTAAAAAGAAGGTGAGTTGTAAGAGTTTTTTAATTTCAATAGAAATCCAAAAAGATTTACATTGCATCTACTTTGGGATAAGTTCATTAGATAAATTCCTCAATTTTGGTTCAAATAATCCAAGATTTTATAGGAACCAATAGCTATTAGTTAAATAAAGCTTAAGATCAGATATTAAGGTATTAAACATTTGAAACCCACTTTTACATAGTTTTTAACATAAGATTAACAATCACAAAGTCAGTAAGAGTCTGGATAAGGTCTCGAATTGAAATCAACATGAAAAATACATTAATCCTGAGTTAGCAACCTGAAATAGTTTAAAATGTTCACCAATCCACAAGATATCCAACAAAAACCTCTCCAAATAAGCTACCACCATCAAGATATTTTTTTTATAGTTTAGTTTTCATAATTTTAAGTTAAATGATTGATTGATTTGTGAATTAGATGCTTAATTTGATGTAAGAGAAGATCTATTGTAATGATTCGTATATAAAAATTGTTTGCACTTTGAATGAGCTTTAAATTTTGGGGAAATTTTAATAATTTTAAAAAAAATTTATTGCACAGAAATTATTTTTTTATCTTTTGGGTTTTAGTCACATTTTCCCAAAATTAATACTCACAATTGCGTGCAATGTGCTTATTAAAATAATTTGTTCAAAAAACAAAAACGAAAAAAAGTTGAAGGAACAAAATTTACTTTTTATCGTAATAATAAAACAAGAAAGTTTGTTTATCATTAGATAAGCAAAACTAGCGCATTTTCCTTTTTAAAATTTTGAACAAATTTTTCAAAATTTTTTAACAACAATCCAAATTTCAAATTAAAATTAAATTCAACCAAAAATTTTGTAGCAAATAAACTTTGAAAATTTCAAGCATGCACAACAAATAAAAAGTTTGTCTAATAAGTTTTTAAGGATCGGAAAATGCGCTATAAAAATGGAACACAACTATAGATAATACTAATAGAAAAGTCTCAAAAATTCTAATAATACAAACAAAAAGGATAGATGTAGAATATTTAAAAAAAATTATGAGATAAAGGTACAAGTCTTTTAGTACCATTTTAACTTCTGACAGTGAGCTGATGCTGAGGACATACATCGTAACGCCAACATTAACTGGCTCGCCTGTGATTCGTATAAGAATTGTTTGGTTTTAGTTAATTTTATACGTCTATAAGTTTTTTTGATTAGTAGTTTTTTGTAATGTATAGATTGAATATAAATTAAGGCTGTTGTCTGTCGCATTTTTCGGGGATGTTTGGTAAACTAATGATTAACTATGACATGATTAAGTCATAATTATATGAATAGCCTAGATTCTGATTCTATCGTAATTACAGATTTGCTTAAATAATTATTTCTAGGCTTATTGGCACTCAATGAGATACATGTTCAGCTATTTGACATTTTACTCGATGCTGAACACCTTTTAATTACTGTTATGTCGAATTGTGAATGACATTCAATGTAAGGTCAACTATTTTGTCATGTAACCCCTAAAAAGACCAGTAAAATGTCAGTGCGACAACCTACATGACTTAATTTATAGTCAATATTATAATCATGAAATTATTATACTAATTATTTATATACGTAGACAAAATCAATTTAAAAGAAAAGTAATAAAAAATGAAATGAAATTAAATTTTATGTCTTTTAAAAATATTTCTTCCATTATTTTGAATGGAAGTTGGTTCAAAATATATAGAAAATTAATTAATTAAGGAAAATCAAAAGCGAGTGCAAAAAAGACACATATTTTAAAAACACTTAAGATTTAATCAATAATAACGAAAATTTCCTCCCTAAACTGTAGATTATTGATAACCAAATTGTGTTTATAGCTTTTATAGGTCATTTACGAAGTTTTATAATGTCTCTTAATTAATTTTTTTATATTTTTAAACTTTTTTGCTTGTTTCCCTAAACTTTATTAATTTTCTTTCTCAAAAAAAAAAATTCTTACTTAACTTTATTATTTATTACATTTTTAATGTATAATTATTCGGTAAGAAATTGTTAAAATCTTTGTATCAATATTTTATATTTACAATATTATTGGTGAAATAAATTTACGTACCTCCATAATTGGGCCTTACTCTTTTATCATAGCTAACACTGAATGAATCTAAAATTGCTGATATATTAACATCGCCTAACATACTTCCGCTAGAGCCACTCCTACGAAGATATAAAATAAAAGAGAATATGAAATTAAGATGTGATAAGATAAGAAATAGGAAGAAAGAATTATGTTGATCTTTATCTATAATGTGCAAAAAATATGTAGACTTAAATTTTATTTTTAGAGATTTATTTGAACAATAAATGTTATCGTGTTTTTACTTTGCATGGCTGGCATGGTTCTGATTGTTTGAGTCGTAACATTAAAAACTATGAGCTCAATTGATGTGATGTCTTGTGGGACTGATTATTGCCACTTTAATAATGATGTGTTGACAGAAATTAAGATCAAATTGGTTAATTTAGAGGAAAATAACTGCAAATTACTTTTTGAGGTGGAGAAAAATTTCTGGTTTGAAAAAGTTCGTTATTATTTGAATTTTCGAACATTTGAAATTGGAAAGTCCGGTAAATTTAAAACAAAAACTTTTTTGTAGAATTCAGAATTCAGATAAATATGAAATCATAAATTTTCGCACCCTCAAAAATTCCATTCAAAAATCAACCCCAATTTGACGAGATAAGTGCGCCTAAAAGATTCATAAACCATCCAAAATATATTACTATATTTTATAATAATCTTCATTCATATTCCATTCGTCGTATCTCCTTTAAGTCACACGTAGACAATATAAACATGCAAGCAGATCCTCATCTGACAAGTTTAATTTGAGCCAATTCATTCAGCACAAGATGAATCGTTCTCATAGCAGCACGGCACATTGCAAGGGCTGCCTTTTTTCCATTCTTCTTCGTCTGCCAATCTTTCTTAAAAAACATCACAATAATAAAAACATGGAAGCTTTAGTAAACTTACAAAACGATTGTTGTAAAAGAAAAAAAATTCTTTTCTATACTTTAGCTCCATTCTCTCACACACAATCTCAAGTGCGAGGATGTGAATAGATTGCCGAAAATTATCCGAAAGGAAAGGAGAAAAATAATACAAATATACGATGTTTTATAGATATCTACACGTACAACAACATGACGTCATTACGAAAATGAACAAAAAAGAAGTATAAATTGTAGGGAAAATTGGGGAGAGAAGGAACAGAAGATAAAGTGGTAGAGGAGAGAGAGATTTTTGCTATACAGCACCCTAAAAGTTATGATATTAAAGCTTTTTATCTGTAATGATTTTTCTCCATATTTTATTTTCGCAGTGCTTTTCCCAAATAGAAAGAAAAGAAACAAAAGAAAAAAAGTTCAAATAACGACGGCGTAGATATTGAGCACAGTAAGTAAAACAAGACGCAGAGTGAGAATACGTCCATAAAAAAATTTGTTGTTCATCATCGTTAATAAATTTTTTTCTTCTCATCTCTCTTTTTGCTCTGAAATTTCCTCATCCCTATGTCTCTCTCAACAGCCCACCTCCTAGAAGTGCTCACAAAATCGTCAGTTACTGTTGTGTAGATATAAAAATTTCTGGTGTACCATTTGGAGTTGTATAAGTGCACTTTATGAAAAAACATTTTTAATTAAATATTCACAAAAAGCTTTTTTTAGTTATTTTCTCGTGTATCGAGATTTTTTCTCTCGCTCTCTGTCTCTCATCAGTCTCTCTCTCTCTCTCTTTTTCTCTTATACCCAGAATTCTTCTTTTTCTATTTGCTTGTGTCATGGATTTCTTTTTTTTTTTTGGTGCACATATAAATTTTTTCCCTTCAATATTCGAGCTCATTTTCCAATACGACTGCTGGTTTACTTTTTTTTCATACTAGAAATTGATTTTTATTTTTTTATATTTTTCACAACTTTTTTTTAGTCGCTGAGCTTTAGCTTTAAATAAGAAGAATTTTATTTCTCATAATTGAGATCGAACCACGCCTTGAAAAATATTCAATTTCTTTTTTCAGTCAACTTTTTTTTTCTCTTCCTTTTTGACTGTGTGTCTTGATTTAAAGTAGCAAAAAAAAAAGTTTGTCGTAAAAGAAAAATTCTTGTTTTTCAAGCAGGAAATGTTGCAAAAAAAAGGAAAATTTATTTGCCATGTAAGAAAAACGGAAAAAAAGCAAGAAAAAAAGTTTCAGGGAGAAGCCGCACCCATCATGTCGAAATTGAGATATCAAATGTTGCACACATAACACATTACACACAGAATACAGAACACAGAGAGAAAAAGTACATATATGGGATACTAATTTAAGTTACTGTAATAATTTTGAGCTCGTTTGAAGCTATTGGACAATTTGAATTATAATATTTTGAGTTTGACTGCTCATTTGTAAGCTTTTGCTTGTGTTTTTCAAGTCATTAGATTCTTGCTATGTTTTCTGACCTTAACCTTGAAAATTTCATGAAAATTTATTGCTTACATCGATTTATTTACCGGAATACTTTTTCAATTGGAAAGCATGTACTGTCGCCATTTTTGAAAACAAATTCAAATCTTTAAATATCGTTAATATCTTAAACCGTCCCATTTTCAAACTTAGTACACAAAATTTTGTTTTTGATTTCATACTTTCATTCTTGCCATGTTTTTCCATCACTAACCTTGAATTCCTTTTTGCTAACTCATTGTCTAGCTCGATTTCTTAAGCAAAAACTTTTCCAATCGACAAATTCCAACTGACGCCATTTTGTTTTATCTCTTCAAATTCCAAAAAGTCGTTAAAACTTTCAAATTTGATTTCCGTGAATGGAATCTGTCAAGTCAACCATAAGAGCGCTTTATTTGCTCAATAAAATTCAACAAAAACAAGTTTCTTACTAGAATATTTTATTTTATATCACACAACTTCCTCATAAACTTTCATGTTGTGATCCCAACTATGATTTTTCTTCTTTCTTACTCACTGGTTTTGAAAATATTTCACAATATATGCACACATGTATGTATTTATGTACATGAATATTATTGAAGAGGAAAAAGTTGAATTTGAATTATTGATTATTCCTAAAATGCGGAAGCATTCCAATAGCTTTTTTCCCCCCATCCTTTTTATATTCGCTCTCACTTACTCGTTCAACGTGACCTCAATTATATTTTTGTGTGCTTTTGGCTTTGCTGTTTATACCAAAAAAAAAAACACAGAGTATGAGTGAGTGAGAGAGAGAAAGAAAAAATTATTGTACTAAAAAAAATCTAAGTCCATTCATATTTGAACCAGACGAAATATACGATACGGTATAATATTATAAATTGTACGAGAAAAAGGCTGAGGATATAAAAAAGAAAGTCTTAAATGAATAAAAAATTCCATTTTTTTTCCTTTTCATTTTACTTTTAAGCTCTTAAGTCCCATAAAAATGGAATTACGATAATCGAAAGTTGCAGTAAAAAAACAGCTTTACATATTCTATTTCCACAGAATAATAATAATATTCACTGCATTGAGTTAGGTTTTATTTTTTTCAATTCGACACACATTTTGTCATCGACAAAATCAATCATTGCATTGGAAAAAAGCCTTTTTTTTTGCTCGTAGTGGATTGAAAATTTCGTGATTTTTTGTGACTGTGAGGAAGATTTATGGGAAATTCTTTTGATAAGTTTTACTGTAGACTTGAAATGTCGATAATAAAAATTTTTTGCTGCTGTAATCGTGATTTATGAACGATTTTTATACATTTTTATGCTGCGAATCGGTTGTGAGATTTTTTTTACGCGATTGGTGGTGGGGGTTGGGTGGTTTTGAGAAAATGCGTACATGTCATTTGTATCATTAAATCCAGAAATCAGATTATCTACCCAGGTATGGAAATATTTTTTGTTAGCTGTTCAGATTAATTAGAATCTTAGCTTCACTGGGAATGCAAGGAGTTATAACACTAATGACATAGAATTGATTCAGAGCTGGAACTGAGATTATGGTTTGATTTTGAGATGATTTAAAATAAAAGGAATCAAACTCGTACTTTTGACACTTAAAGTTGCATCATCTTATGCCTAAGCTATCGGAAATCACTTAAACATCACACTTGATAGAATGCTAATTTCAACTCTGTAAAGTAGTTTGCTGCTATTCTGTTTTGACTCAACTTTGTGATCCTTTTGTTGCCTCAAAAGAAAGGCTGTGAGTTGTGCTTTAAGTCTGTATAGTATTTAAAATGTGAGAAGCTTCCCTGCTGTGTCTCGAGCTCATGATTAAAGGATCAATATTTTTTTAAAACTAATATCCCAAAGTACACTTAAGCACTGCCCTTTCAAGCCACTCCTGCCTAAGAAATCTAGCATTTAATATGAACTATAAAGCATGCATATTCTCCAACCTCAATCTAGCTATAAAACTTTGATCTCAACCTAAATTATCCACCATTCTCAATAATTTACTCACTCTTGAAATTTTAACCCACAGAAATCGTATACAGCACACGATTACCAAAAATTTATTGCAGCATTCGTGCACATCGTACGATTCTATTAATAAAATATTCATACTTGAAAGAATACAATAAAAATCTCTTAGTACTGGTCCATAATCATATTTCACTGACTTCCTCACCAACACTCCCGTCAATATATAAAAAAAAAATCTCGTTAACCACCCGTAAAAAGTCTCATTGGAACCTCTAGCTATGTGATTGTGACTGTTTAATGTTCATGAAAGCTCCCTCGTCTCCCACACATCCCTCTTCTTTCACTTTAGTATGTTTTTTTTTTGCTTTTAATGCTCTCTCCATGTCATGGCTGTTATGCATTAATTCTTGTTTTATTATTTAGTTCTTTTCGTTCATACTTTTTGTCGCTTTTTCCGTATTTTTTTTTTTTTTGAAGTGAAATGAAATCATATTTCGTGAGAATCAAGAATAAAACAAACGACGGTATGGTAAAAAGCAGAAGAAGAATTGAAATGAAAGAAATGCCAAATGAATTATTGAAGAGTTCATTTCGCCTTTTTATGTGCTCGATGTCTAAAAGTTTCATATTCAAATTTTTTTTTCTCTCCCTTTTTTTAAAGCTTTTTGTACCTTTTAGTACTCAATATTTTTTTTCTCGTTTTACAAGCGTTGTTCAATTTCAATCATACATATATGGAAGACATAAA